TCGACGTTGAAAGACTGCTGCACTCCAGAAGAGCTTAGGTGCAATAATCATCTGACCCCAGCTGCCACGGTGCTCCAATATTCTGAGCTTCTTCCTCTTTAACGACTATCGGGGTATTTGTGGACAAACAATCAATGGCTCCCTGTCATGGTGAGCACCTGGTAAATAATAAATCACGTTAGCTTTTAGGTGAGAGATAAATAAGATGTGACAGAATATTATCACTTAATTATAAACAATACGGAGATCATTTTAATAATAGAGGAGCTAATGGCTGTGTAAAAATTCTCATCTGTTTTTAAATTTTGTCTGTAAATACAAAAACGCTTCATCAAATGAAAATCAACTAAAGGATTGTGGGTCAAATAGTAACAGAACTTTATGGAACCTTGTAGCACAATAACAGGTAGAGACTGGCCAAGAAAGTCGCAGCGAACCCTGCCCCGTGTCCTGAACAATGAATATAGACTATTACCATCTAGATGCCGGTACAGTGGTCCATCTAGTATGATGATGATCCATCATCAGCTATGATGATGATGGATCATGGTCCATCGTGTCGTATGATGATCGTATGTTATTGTATGTTGATCAACTGCATGATTTTTTTTTTCCATTTTGATCCAGTGATAAAATTCCTCCCGTAAGCTCTTCGCCAAGGCTTTCACAAGCAAGCTAACGGCTAACTGCTGCCATGTGTGCACACCACCAATTCTAAATGTTTCAAATGTAGAATGATGCCAATCGACACATCTATTGGCATCCCATCCTGTAGAGAACCACAGCTGCAGTACCACTATTGCCCAGCAGGAGCTAGTATCAGGGTCCATTCTTACCACCATTTTAATTGACCTTTTGAAATTAAATGTGACATTTCTGCACCTATCAATGCCTCAAATAGACAGTAGATAATTGGTTGTTCGTTAGCCCCTTTAACGAGTCAGCATTCTCATGTTTGCTTAAAAAAAATCTAAATTAAGTCACTCTTGTGCAAGGCATTGAGAACAGCAGCGCGTGAACAAAACTAGGGCTGAGGCCACGTCCAATCAGCTGTTGATCATGTCCACGTGACTTCGTTGAAGATAAGTGGACCGGAAAGTTCCAGTCAAAGGGTGTCTTTAAGCACTTGTATTTGAGCTAAAAGAGGTAAACTAGAAGTGTGAGCACACACTCAAGTCTCCACTTCACCTAATCCTAATCTCCAATGTCATTGGGCTGTGGCAGGAAACCGGAGTACTGGAAAAAAAACCCACAGACAGGTGGTGATAGCATGCAAACGCCACATAGAAAAACCAACCGAGCCGGGACGTGACCGTGTGACCTCCTAATGCCATGGATACTGTACATTAGTAAAAGTCATCCATCACATGTTTTGAACTATGACATATTAAGACAGACTGTAAGGATTGAAACAACACCACATGAAGTAAACTGATAGATAATAATCTGACCAGGCTGAAGAACAACGCGGTCCGTTGATGCAACTCAGCAAATTACAACGGTTCAAAAGTAGAATGTAGAATACAGAATGTAAATGATATGATCACCACAGTGGAAAAATGACACTGACACTGGAGATGATGTGGACGAGGCTCATATAAAAGGGCTTTAATCCACTCTTCTGCAGATCAATTATTGAATGTGACTTGCACATTTTTTTATTTTTCTATTTTCTGGAACGGCTATAGTCTGGATTTCTGCCTCTTTCAGCACCATTATCCCGACAAATGAAATGCAGCGCATTGGCCTGTGCACACTGTGATCCACACACACACACACACAGTGCAGGATTAAGGTGATTGATCTGAGTGAATAGGGCTCCTGATGATGTGTGTGCCTTGGTTTCTCAGTGGTGTGTGGAGCAGCCTCAGACAGATCAGTCTGATGAGCGCAGGCCGAGCCGGAATCAGGAGGGAAGGCGTGGAGGGATGAGTGGGAAGAAATTATGTAACACAAGCCCATCCGACGTCCACGCCCTCGCTTTCAAACAAAGGTTTCACACCTTTAAAATATGCATGAGTCTTATACAATGGTCGAACGTAACGCAGAGGCACGTTCCCGAGTCTGGGGTTTAAGCTCCGGCCTATTTATAGGCCTGTTGCAGTTAATTCCTAGGAGCAGACCTGCACCTGATCAACATGTCTGTGAGAATTTCAGAGCCGGAGTCTGAGATAACGCTGCTCTGGGTCTGAGTGTGAATATGAAGCCAAGACTGGCCTCTTCAGCTCCCCCTGTCCATCAGTTTTTAATCTGTGGGAACAATTTAAATACACATCGCTGCATTTCGGTTAAAAAAAAATTACAAAACGTTTCTGCCGTGGAGGCACAACTGAGCCTATATGATGCTATTCCCCGGTATCATGTCACAAAAGGAAACGCTGTGGACCAAAGGCAGAAAGAGGGCGCTAATGGAAGGGAAAAACACAGAACAAACCTGCAGATGTTGAGATCAGTCCAGAGGCTCGGATGCAGCGGTCAGTGGATGGTTTGGAGCACAGCCGTGTGGAGATAACATTGTTTGAAGCCGATAGATGGAGGATGACGGTAGCGCCTGGCGGCTCTCACCGCGCAGCTGCTGCCAGGATACAGCAAGCAGCGACAGACAGCGACACTGGCCAATCACAGGAGGCGACGCCGCGCTGTCTACCCGCAAACGCTGACTGCAGCAGCCAATCCGAAACGTTCGCCTGGAAACCTAGCCCCTCCCCTCTGTGAGTACAAAATTCTTCCACATCTCCCTGACGAACGGCGGTCACTCCCCTGAGGCATCTCTCTGCAGCTCTGGGCCCAGACTGCTGACTCTCTCAGGTCACCTCATGGTTATTGTTTTGACTTTATTTTTAGACTTACACAAAATTACAAACAGGACAAGTTGGAGATAAAAAACGAGTGTCATTTCACCCAAGAATTACATTATTAATAGAAACTAACTAATGGTAAGTTAGTTTCTAATAACATTTTTTTTGTTGTATTTTCTTTCTTATTCCTTATAGGGAGCTTGAGTCAACGCCAGAAGTGAACGACCAAAGTGTGAGGTAAACTATTCACACTCATGAAGTTTAATTCAAACGTATCACCTGATCCTGGTCTGTAGGAGGTCGACCATAGTATGAAAATGTGTCCGACTACAACAAAGAGCACATTACTGCGTGCGTTGTAATGAAAGATTTTACAGTCAAATGATCTCCTCCAGTCAGAGTGTGAGGCCTCTGGTTCAGCTACACAGTCAAACTGTGATGAACTCTGAACAGACCAACGTCCGAATAAACACAAACAAACACAGTAATTAGTCCAGAAGTTTGGAAACCCATTCAGACATCGTAGAACCAGACATGAACCTGTTCAACCTACCAAGACCGAGACCTGCTGGATATACAGTAGATACCAATGCACTAACACTTAACTTCTTTAATCTTCTCACTCTATTTAATGAAGCATTAGATGTATCACGTATATTTCACCTATAAATTGGTGATCAACAAACAATGAACTTGTGTTCGTTGTTAAACCTGGTTCATTGTTTAACAGTTTGAACCTTAAATGTTCAAACTGTTCTTTTTGGTTTTTACTGAATTGTTTCCTCTTATGTCATCCTAGCACAAGTCATGTGCAAATAATGCACACGTTACCGATACGTCTGAGTAAATTCAGCAACAGGCGAGGAGTGTCTAGGGTTTTATTTAAACGTTTGTCTTTTGTGTTGACCAACAGTGTAGGTACTCTTGTTACACTGTTACACAGGAATCCTGTGGGTTGACGAGAGCCACAGCTTCCTCGAAAAACAGTGACAAAGACGAGATTGTGCAGCACTGTGGGTGTTTTGTCTGCATCGCATTGTCGAACAACCAAAGAGAACTTTATGTGCGTTGTAAATGTCACTCTTCAACAAACACTGAATCAGACAGAAAAAGAAACTAATCATGTAAATCGCAAGTATTCACATTTCATCAACGGAAGTAGGTGATACATAAAACCAACCGATGGGTAGGATGTGTCCGTGTTTTAGTCTCTTACTAAAACAGGCATATCTGTGCTTTTTTTGCATTAGACTCAAGAAGAAAATAATCTTTAAAAAAAACAGGTTGAGCAGGTTCATGGAAAATACAGTATATATCTACTCAGTGACAGTTCTTGAACACAAGCCTGGACACGAAACAAACAAGTTTAAACTAATAAAAGACAGTTCTTCTACAACGGCTTTTTTGTGTTAAAGTCACTCACCCGACCTTAATGTTCCTCCCAAAAGTGACAGAACTTGATGCTTGTGTATTGTGTGCCAGGTGTCAAAGATTATGCCGTTCCCCTACCCACGCCCCCCACTCCCCCTCACCCCTCTACCCGCAGTAATTACTAGTTCCCCATTTCTTTGTTGCATTGTTTTACATTGGTTATCAAACCGGCGTACAGTACACATGCAAACGATGGCCTGACCTTCCTCTTCCTCTTTGCTAAAATAAACCCTAAAAGACCAGTTTCAAAAGTGTTATATTTAATCATGTCATCCTGAAATTATTCAAAAAGGAGGAATATAAAAATTCTATACTCAAAGTACTTTCCTGCTTTGTGCAGTGTCATTTTTTACCACATGGCTGAGCTGATAATCATGACCCGCAGTAATCTCCAACTGCAGAGTGGTGCCCTTCTGTTTATTAGTGTTTTCTTTTTGGGTGTAGCGTTGACATGACCTGCCGTGATACTGTTCAGAGAGAATATAAAACCATGCTGCATCTTTTTTTATTGCATTTTTTTCCCTAATTAAATTGAGTATACAGTATGACATGGGTAAACAATGGAGTAAACTGCTATATCTTTTTTCTGTAAAGGACACAATGAGTGTAATGAACTAATGTAATGTACTGTTTAACACATCATGTCAGTTTGAAAGGTGTCCAGTTTGTATGTAAAAGAGCAGAACCGGCCAATAACCAGTAGTTCATATATTTCTGATTGTAAAAAAATGAATAAATAAATAAATAAATAAATAACCTATTTAAGTGTACGATTTAAAACGACTTGGAATAAGAGCGCGTCCGTTACCACTAGATGTCAGCAGAAAGCAGCGCCTTAAAAACAAGAGACTCCAGTCATGGCCAAGTGCCAAATTTGTTTTTTTTTAATCAGACAAGTGCTTTAAATTGTAACAGATTTCAAACAGTGAAGAGACACCTCCTCCCAGACCAGCCCTCTAAACCAACGAAACTACAGTTAATGCTATTGTACAGTGCATTAGAACCTACAGCATCAATTATCTGCTTACAAAAATGCAGTAAATTGACAGAAACTTTTTTTCTTACAAAAATAACATAACCAGCTGCCAAACTATAGAAATCTACAGATACAGGGAACTCCACACAAAGTCATACAGCAAAATTGGATTGAATACAGCAAGAAGTGCCAGTTAAAAAAATAAAGCTTTGGAGAAGTAGAGACCATTTTCCACATCTGCTGGAGAATTAATTCTCTCTCTCTTTTGCGTCCTTGTTCTTCCTCACTTCTTCAAGCTTTTTGTCCTGTTTAGTACATGAGAGATAAGATGGTCGTCAGTCTGCACATGAAACAGCAGGACACGTGAGGTCACCAGAACATGAAGAGCTCACCTTCTCCTTGAACTTCTCATTGAGAGCTGCCATCCGTGCAGAGCGATTCTCCTTGTTCGCCTCCATCTTCTGATTCAGTTTCTCTTGGGCCATCTTGCTAAAGTTGACATTCTCCTCAATGGCCTTTTGCATCACTTCCTTCTCGTGCTCCCGTTGTTCAGCCAAGTGCTTGAGAACTTCAGCCTCGTGGCTCTGGCCCAAGACAAGACACATTTTTAAAGAAAGGTGCGTAAACTTTTGTGAACATTTTTCAGAGGTAATTTTCTCTTGTTTGGAAGAGTTCAGTGATGTTGTGTCAATACCTTGCGTCTCTCTTCTGCTGCTTCCAGCTTTTTCTTAATCTCATCCAGCGATGTTCCCTTCTTCTTAAGAGGGGAAAGTGGAAATTCCCCCTTAGCATCTGGGGTTGAGGGGCTGAGAATAACCTCAAATGCATGACCAGAGGCTCGCTTGTTCAGCACCTTCACTTGCAGCTCTGTAATATATAACATTTCATGACCAAGATTAAAATGGCTGTGGTGCATCAGTGCTGTAAATCAGTGCTCTGAATCTCTGAATATTTATGAATTAGTGTGCTTCACCTCCAGAAGTTTCCATTTCAGCAGAAGTGTTGAATTTAACACTGAAAAAAGAAATGGAGGGACTATTTCATTAGGCTCAAGAAAAAAGGAAAACCCTACAAGCATTAGAAATACTTTCCTGTAGAATCTTAATTGAACAAGGCTTAATTTAACTTTTCACAGATCAAGTTTCAAACACCTTTATGGTCGACATATCCAGCTTTTGCACCGCTTTGCAGCCGAGTTACATTTATTGTTGTTTTAGGAATTAAAAACTAACAACCATTTCTGTAGGATCATCATCTAAACATTTGTTATTTTTATTTATAATGGTTAAATAAAAATGATAAAGTATGGCCATAATAGAACAGATGATACAGAGACGTGTTTTGATAGATCATTGCTCAAACGACTTAGATTTTTTCAACAAAATGTATGCAATAATAAAAAGAAAATCTGTGAACAAATCTATAAACGTAAACTCAACAGACAAGGATGAATGGCTTCAGAATAAATAATAAATAACAGTACAGTGAGTTTGCCCTGTATATTATACAATTCTGTTACATAATCTGTTCGGTAAGCAATCATAACATGACATGACAAGTCAGGCTAATCCAGTTCTTCGCCTCAGTGGAGCCTCAGACAGAGGAGAGCAGAGTTAGGGTCTATAAAATCAACTGCATGTGTGTGTGTGTGTGTGTGTGTGCTCCGTTGCATGTAGTGTGCAGTGGAGGATGGGGGAGGGGGTAAAGTTAGCTGCTGCTGCTGCACAACAACAATTAAACCACAACACGACAAAAGACAACAAGTAAGAAAGATAACGGTAAAAAAAAGTTAGTTAAGCCCGAAAAAAGTGAATTAGGAAAGAGAGCACGGTTTTTACAGGTCAGTGTTGTAAAAACAATGGCTAATTTGCTTAACAATTAATTCAAAATTCACAAAACTGACCGTGAACTAAATGGTTAAAAGTTAACGTAAAGATTTCGGGGATGTAAAAAAAAGAAACAATGACTGAAATATTTTAAACATTTTAACAGTCTAGTAATTAAACAAGCTAAAAACACAGCAAAACACCAAAACCCACCAACTCCGGTGATGCTGAGAAGAGTTTAGAACAAAGCGTCAGACGACCTCAAACTGCTGCCGTGGTAAGTGTGAAAGCCCGGATTGACATTTACATAAACCTTTGTCTCCTCACCGTCAAGTGCTTCCGATGTCAGTCTGCTCTCCTCTTTCTCCTTGGCTCTACTTTCAACCGCCAAACAACATCTGCACCTTGGCGCTAAAAAACCGACTGATCTCAAACGTAACCCGAGATGTCTGCGCTAATTGGTCCAAATGCACCAATCACAAGCTACGCAGGGAGTCGTAGCGCCAACAGCTAAAATAACAGACAGAACAGGGAGAAAGCTGGCATGTCCCTGGTGGCAGAAGGAGCTACAGGGCTTCTTTTTTAAAAAATACATACTTATGTAACTTTGTATGATTTTGATTGTAAGCGATCGCGAATTTAAAAGTCCATCGTGCAACCCAGCTCCTTAATTAATTATTTTGTAAACTGAATTTGCACCGAGATTATTGCTCTGTGATGGCAATGGCGCATTTTAACAGTCAAAAGGAGTAACTTAGTCCCAATCAATAAGACATAGAACAAAGAATATGTTTAAGTGTGACGATATGGGGTAACAAAGCGATACCCCATTACTAGTCCAAATATAGAATTGCAAAATGTATGTACTTGAATCGCTGACTGCTTGTCCTTTTTATCAGGTGTCGCCATTGTGTGGGTCTGTACAGTGATATGGCTGTTCATATGCCCCTCCCGCCCCTTCCTAATGCAACCCAGCCTGGAAATAGGGGACCAGGTGGTATCAACGTTTGTTCAGTATCCTAACAAGTTTAGAAGTGGACAACTGAAGTAGCAATGTTATTTAAACATGGTTAATCTGTCCTCAATGAGGCTTCTTATATTCTCTAACAGCAGTAGCTGTTTAGGATGACTCTAGCACAACTTGTTTCTCTGTTTATGTATCTCAGGTACGTGGTTTAGGAAATTCTAAGTAATAGCATAAATCATTTAATTATATTGTCTCTTTATTCTGAAAACACACAAGAGCCCATGTGTGATTACTGTCATATGTCCAAATATGCCTGCATTGCAATGTTCGGGGCAAAATATATTGTTCGCTTTAGGAAAGTAAAAATAAAAGATGAGCAGTATAGTTGGGAAAATTGTATTTTGAAAAGCCAATACGCCGACAATATATCCGGTTGTCTTGTGACTTCCGGTTACCAATTTTATCACAATTGACCGATACTAGAAGCGGAAGGCGTCAACAGAACTTTAACAATTTCACCTTTTAAACGCCAAGATGGGGGCCTGTCTTGCTTTGTGCTCTTTAGCCAGCTGTGTAAGTTACTTATGTCATTAACAGACTTAACTTAAATATCACAGAATATAAAATATATTGTGTTGTTTGCTTCTGGTTATGACGTTAGCTGTTAGCTCGAAAAAATAGGTCATCTTTATTTGGCCCTGGAATTACGTTATAAATGGCGGCCTAAACACTGTTAAAATAGTTAATACTGTGATATCGGAATTTTTACTTAATTGCTGAGTTGTCATGGTATATAAATGTAGCTACGTTAGCCTAGCAGGCGTGTAATGGAGGAAGTATCAACAGAGGCCATTGTCAAGTATAGAAACATAACAAGTAGCTTGGATAAATATGACCACATATCTTGTTGTAACATATGTTTATTAAAAAGTACATTGTACGCCGTTACTTGTAACTGTTAGAAGAACATCTGCACGAATAATACGATATTGTATTTACTTCCACGAGTTAGTACTTCAGTCGAAACTTTAGGATAGTAAATATTTAACAACTTTGTCATCATTCTGAAAGGACTTCCTGTTTTGCCTCCCTTCCGTCGTCAAATCCCTGTTTAATACGTGAGCTGTTGAACAAATAAATAAAATTTGAATTTATATTATAATTGATATTAAACATTTTTTAAAGGATAATCATGTCGCTTTGTAAATTATTTATTTTTTAAATTATTGACTTGACATATAGCGTTCCTCAGTTCGCTTATTTTATGTAAAAATGTTTTTTGTGTAGTTTGCTGTACAAATAATAAAAATTTTGTGTAGTTTGCTGTACAAATAATAGTGACTTGACAGTCATAATTAAAAGCTGTCACTTTCTTGTTGTTTGAAATATGTTTATTTAATTATTAGCCGTTTAAAGTCTTCATATTATATTTGAAAAGTATTCTTAGTAAATTGAGCAAAAATGTTTTGCTCAATTTACCAAACTATTTGAACATTTGCCCAATTTTTGTGCAAAATCACTAGAAAATTTGTCTTGTGGTCGCAGTGATACCATGTTAGGAAATGAACTGTAACAACCCATATTCACTTGAATTTACAAGAGCACTGTTGTCATATTGTGTTGTAGATTACGCCCTTTAACCTGAATTGTGCTTTGTTGAGCAACCTACTTTTTATTGCTTGTTTTATTTAGCTCTAGGCTAAAGATTACATGATGACTCAGACCAATATCATTGACCTTTTTTGTAAATAATAACAAGTAATACACAAACCAAAGGTTTTTAATGAGACCCAGCTCTAAGTTTCCTTGTCCAGTGTTTTCAATGTCTTTAATTTATTTTCAAACAAGTAGATATATTTTTTTTAGTGTTTAAACAATGTTTGCGGTCCCCTTACCCATACCCTCTGTCTATTTCTGCAGGCCTCCTGTCTGTGTGGCTCAGCACCATGCCTCCTGTGCGGCTGCTGTCCCTCCTCCAATAACTCTGTCATTACCAGGCTGGTGTTCTCTTTGTTTTTGTTGATGGGAACAGTGGTATCTGTCATCATGATCCTCCCTGGGATGGAAACACAGCTCAGAAAAGTCAGTTTAAAAAGTGAAATAAGTAACTGTTCTGATGTGATTTAGTGCTTGCTTTTTATCTTGTGATTTTTTTCTGAGAGGCACAATTTAAAAAAAATTGTTTCATCGTCTGACCTTTTGAATTTAAAAAAAAATTGTTTCATCGTCTGACCTTTATTTCTGACTTCATTGTGTTCATTGTTTATAGATACCAGGATTTTGCCAAGGAGGTGCCTCATTTTATGGCATTGAAAATGTGGCCAACTGTGACGTCCTTGTGGGCTACAAATCTGTGTATCGCATGTGCTTCGCCATGACCTGTTTCTTCTTTCTCTTCTGCATCATCATGATCCGTGTCCGCAGCAGCAAAGATTGTCGTGCAGCTATTCAAAATGGGTAAGTGCTGGTTTATTACTTTCCTGCATATTAAAAAGTGTGTTTTGAGACAGTTTCAGGTCAGTTGTATTTGATAAGTCCTAAATTGCTACTATCCAGGTTCTGGTTCTTTAAGTTTCTGATCCTGGTTGGAATAACAGTTGGAGCGTTTTTCATCCCTGATGGAACCTTCCATAATGGTACCAACTTAGTTTATTGACAAAATAAGTGACATGTTTCCATGTCCTTAATATATCAGTGACAATGGAAAAGCTATCTTCTTGTCCAGCACTCATTATGAAGAATTGACATTTTCTGTATTTCTCTTTACCCGTCAGTGTGGTTTTACTTTGGAATGATTGGATCCTTTATCTTCATCATCATCCAACTTATTCTGCTCATCGACTTTGCTCATTCCTGGAACAAGGGTTGGGTTGAAAGGGCTGAAGAAAATGACAACAAATGCTGGTATGCAGGTACATGAAAAAGTTCTATCTTTTTATTTATATCTATTCAGTTTCTTTTTGTCACACCTTAAGTTTTAAGTTGTTGTTTTATATCATGAATGGCAGGTCTCTTCACTTTTACCTTCCTCAACTATGCCCTGGCTTTCACTGCTGTGGTGCTTTTCTACGTTTACTACACACAGCCTGATGACTGTGCAGAACACAAAGTGTTCATCAGCCTTAACCTGATCTTCTGCATCATCGTCTCTGTTGTGTCAATCCTACCAAAGATACAGGTACAGTTCAGTTAACACCAGGCTCAGGTTATAACAAAAGCACTTTACACAAATTTCTACTTAAATATTAGTTCCAGTGCTGAAAATTATTAACCACTACAATATACATCCTGTCAACAATGTAAAAAACATTTTAAGAATTGTCATTTTGTTTTTAATTATTGATTCTGTTCTTGACTGAAAGTGATTGAAAAGGATCAAGACATAAATGATGAAGTGAAGTTTGATTTAATTTCTAGCCTTGAAATTCTGCTATTTTATCATATTCATTTTGTTGATTATGTGTGTGTTACAGGAAGCTCAGCCATTCTCTGGTTTGCTCCAGGCTTCACTTATCTCCCTCTACACCATGTATGTGACTTGGTCTGCAATGACCAACAACCCGAGTGAGTTTTTATTTTTTCCAAAACCACGGATTCCACTCCTTTTTGGAGACTTTTTGTTATTAGATTATCGTTAAGTCTATCTACTCATTCTTCATCTGCTGCAACAGTGTGATCACACTGGTGAGTTGTGACATTTTAGTCTGATACAGGTTCTTGTAAGACTATGACATGACGATTAATATTTGAAGAATTCTTCTGAGTTAACCTTTCATTTTCAGTGACATCATTTTCACCAGACATTCTTATTTTGGAAGTATGATTGAAAGCGATGTTGCGATAACGCAGCAAAGAATCAAATATACATGAGGCATAAAATACGTGTTGATCAGGTGAGAAAGTGTTGTTGTTGTTAGTAATCTAATTTTTTATTAGGTTACTAACAACCAAATTACCACACCAAATTACCTCTCCTAATGTACTCATTCTCTACAGTGATGCTGTGAATAGCAGTAATAAGAGAAACCAGATCTGGGTTTAGTCATCATGTCATTATGTTTTTGTGGTAGTTAGAAGAATGAACAATGTGTTGTTTTGCCTGAATGTTAATGCTGAACTGTCAGACTGAATTTTAGAAAACCAGTGCTTCTAGTTTTTAAAAGTTGGTTTAGAGCTTTGTCTAGTGCTGCCTCAGCTTTATCTCAACATGAGTCAATCTGAACAATCAGCTCCAGAAACATTTTTTAAACCAGTGGTTTATTTTACTGCTCACAGTGTCAGTAACTTTTATAATTGTGTAATAAAATGACTAATTCTGCAAACGTGTGTGTTTGTATTTTGTAATAGATCGTAGGTGTAACCCCAGTCTGCTGAGTCTGGTGTCAAACACCAGCACCACTCAACCCCCTGCTGACAGCACTGGAGATCACGTGCAGTGGTGGGACGCTCAGGGCATCGTAGGTTTGATCATCTTCCTCTTCTGTACTCTCTACGCCAGGTAGGTTTAACACAAAGTTATTTTTTATGCCCTAACTTTTGTTATTATTATTATTATTATTATAATTATTATTATTTTAACTGGACAATCTTCTCTCTGCTTTAGTATCCGCTCCTCAAGCAACAACCAGGTGAACAAGCTGATGCAAACAGAGGAGGGTGGTGCATCAGATCGAGAAGGCATGGTGGGGGGCGACGGTGTACACAGAGCTATAGACAATGAGGAGGACGCAGTCACCTACAGCTACTCAGTTTTCCACTTCCACCTGTGTCTGGCCTCTCTGTACATCATGATGACACTCACCAACTGGTACCAGTAAGTTTCTTTTTTTTTTCCTGTTCTTTTTACAAACCAATTTTCACAGGATTGAACCTGGTCACAGGTGCGGTTCTCCTGTTCTTTTTACAAACCAATTTTCATTTGCGTACTCTGTGGTACTGAGTAAATTCACCTACGTTTTATGTTGGGTTTCAGTAAATATGCAATGAACAAAAAGACGGTGTTGTACAAGTGACACAGCTCTGTGGGTGAAAGGGTGAAGAGCGAGCTCAACCCAAACCACAGTAACGACACTCAACAGGAAAATGCTAACAGTCTTAGTTTTTGGTATTTGGTCCTCATTAATAGAAGGATATTTAAATCTAAAAGGAAACAAATATTCCTATATGAAACAAAAAATCTTCAAACTGGCAGTGTTGTCACACAAGATGTAAGAGAAACTAGCATAAAATACAGAAAATAATATTAAAAAACAATGATAAAACAGATGATTAAAATGAAATACTGCAAAGTGAACACAGCCTAATCAACAGAAAGTGAACAGAGCTTAAAATACAGAAAATAATATTAAAAAACAATGATAAAACAGATGATTAAAATGAAATACTGCAAAGTGAACACAGCCTAATCAACAGAAAGTGAACAGAGCTTTTACAGTAATAGCACATTTCAATTAAAAAAACTGACTTGTTTTCCTGTAAAAAAAAAAATCAACTATCATGAGGAAAATTAGACACTGATCTGCAGTAGGGCTGGTGTGTAGCTGATACCAGTACACGACATCTCTAGTTAGAGGTGCATAGATGTGAATTTACTCTGATCAACTGTAATTTATAGACAAGAACTTGCTGATATAGAAAAAGGTATTGATGTAGAGCCTAACAATGAACACCAGAGGGCACAATACACCGCATGGACTCTGAGTTTTTCTCTCTGTATCTCTAGTATGTGACTATGTCGTTGTCAAGTAAATAAAAAAACATCTTTAATTGACTCCTGTTTTTTTCCAGACCCGACACCACCACTCAGACCATGACGAGCACCATGCCGGCCGTGTGGGTGAAGATGTGCTCCAGCTGGCTGGGCCTCGGCCTTTACCTCTGGACCCTCATTGCTCCGGTCATCTTTCCTGACAGGGAGTTCAGCTGAACGCACTTGGTAACTTGGCTCTATTGGCTTCACTATGTTTTGTTTTTTTTTAAGTTTCCTTTTTGTCTTGTATATTATGCAGTGTAAAGGGATATCATAGAGAAAATAGACAGGAAATTCACAAAGAAACACCTGATACGTATCACTACAACTTTTATAATGTTTACTTTTTTCATCCTACTTCATGATGGCTTTGGCTGCTAAATGATTTTCTTCTAGTCATTTTTATAGTATAAAATCTTAATGGCTCCATTATATTGATTTTCCATTTTAAGTTGCAGCATAATTAAAAAATGACTTACTAAAAATGCACCTTCTCAGTACCTCAGAACACTTCAGTTACAGATTCCCTTTAACGAGGGCCCTGTAAGATTGTAACTCTCTGATTGGCAAAGTCTAAGTAGTACCGCTCTTTAGGTGCCGGGGGAAACCAGGGTAGCCCTTTTTGGGAGCCCCAGAGTGAGGCAAGTGTGAGAGTTAGATAAGATGAACCTGCCACTCCCCACGGATCATAACAGGGGTTCCCCCGCTTGGCTGCAGGGCTGTTTGCAGAGTCATGGCATTGCACGTTGAGCCAGAGATCCCTGCTAGAAAAAAAAACCAACAACAACAACAACAATAACAACAGACTAATCTCAGCTCTTCCTCACAGACTTCATCTAAAGGTGATTTATCACTGGTGCTCGGCCTCTCCTGTCTGACAGCCTCTGGCCTTGTACAGCCACGGTCATCAGTCTGTACAGGCGTAGCAGCCTGTTTGTAGTGAAGAGACTTTAAATGGTATTGATCTCTTAGCAGTCAGCATCAGGCACGGTGCAGGTTAAATAGTTGAGCAGGTGACTGCGACGACGCTGCCTGTGATCCACCAGAAAGACCAGAGTTCACTGGGTGCTGCAACAAATCATGTGACGAACGTCAGAGAAAAATTACTGCTCAAATGTCGAGGCATTTCAGAAATAAGGATTCGCTGTTAAACAATGGTATTTACCGTTATGGTATGTTGACAGTTGTAATGTTTGTTCAGCAAATATATGCATTATATAGGACTTAACTTTATCTTGGTGTAAACAGAAGTTAAAATAAGACCTGCGTATTTTACAGTGGTGAAAATGGCTGTTTTATTTCTTTATTTTAACTGCCATAAACAAATCCTGTATTTGTTTTCCAGTGGATATTGTGATTGGTTCAAAATTGAGGAATTGTTTTGTGTTTGCAT